AATTGATTACAATTTGCAGAGGTCACGTAATTACAGAGGATTAAGTGACAGGGTGATGGAAAAAATGCGTAACTAAATTTTAAAAGTGAAATGAATTATTACATAATCCTTCTTATTACTTGTTCATTCCATGGATTATAAGGAGTTCATATTATTCTCTATCTATATTTGTTCTAGCGTCATATCGACTATTAATAAATACTGACACGGTTTATAACGTAAGACACTAAGTGTAGTTGCTATATTTATATTTCACTAATTCATTTGTTGAATAAAAATGATTTTAATATGGTCTTCCATAATCACAAATTCTATAAGTTGTAGTCCGGCGTAAACATAATCACAAAGCTTTGACGACTTCATTTGATTCATACAATTCTGAAAAACAAACAAATCAGTCGTGAAATAAAGAATTAGACCTAGTTATCAATATCACATTTAATAAGTCAATCAAATAGCAGGTTACAGAATGTACTTATAAGTCTCTTATTTGCAGACAGCGCTAATCATTAGAGATTTCTATTTCCTTTAATAAAAATTAATAGGTAATCTTTACAACACACAAATCAGTGTTATTTAAAAATTGCTGAAATCAGGTTCGTCACAACATAGAAGCGTGGTCGGATTTATGAATAAAATGTAATTCAATAATGTGGCATAAAGGCGATATGAATACAAGGAACTTGTGATTCTGCTTCCATTGCTCATTCACTTTTCGTCACGTTGTCTGCATGAATTACTTTGGACGAGTCAGTCTGTAATGCAGTAGGAATTCATGAATTAACTCATTAATAGTTGTTTTTTGATTTAAGTTTGTGTCTTAACAAGCAATGGAAATTTCTTCAGTGTCTAACCCTTGTAGTATTTCGTCTATATATCTGGTATTAGCAAGAGAAATTGGTAAGCACCATTTAGATATTACTCGACAATACGCATCATAACTTTGTTCACATTTTCTTCTGCGATTGTGCATTTCCTTTACAGAGAATTATTCGTCAACCCTCTAACAGACACATCATAAGTCAGTATTAAGTAAGACATGGTTTCGTCACCATGCTCAGAAGAGACACCCATCGATTTACTTATGAAGATTTCGTGCATATTTAATGTGGTGTTACACACTATTTCTGTATAAGTTCAGAAAACCGGTAAAAAAGACTATCAACGTCTATTGTTACTCACATAATTTTTCTCTGATACCTTACACAGTAATATGTCACTTCAGTACAAAAAAATGCTACCTATAGTCCAAATAACCTTTTATGGCTAAATACAAACAATTTATATAATATTCATAGTTACTTTAACGCTTACTTCTTTCTAATTACATTTTATAAACGACTACCAACATCTGTGTTTGCCGTCACCATAATCAAGGATGTGAACCATATATAATTCTTTTTACGGCTTATTTTCATGAAAACTCAATCTGTAATCTATTTTTGACTCGAAAAATGGTGATTTGACTTCTTTGACTTAGTATTGTTAAAAAATAACCATATTACGCCAGCTACATATTTACTTAGGTGGTGAGCACGAAATACGTCAAACTGCTTATAAATTGAAACAAAAACTATCTTCCAATCACAAAGATTACGAAAAGTCATGTATGACGGAAAAAAGGCTGTTAATAGCTGATAAATAACGACACATAAAATCCACGACAATAGGTTACACGTGCGCGAAAACCCGTAATCTAACAAGCATAGTGTGCCCGAATGTACTGTATTTGGAATTCAAAATTGTGCAATCAACATGTACAAAAGTATCATTAGTCAATTCAAACACCACATCCGCCACAGCTTAAATAGAAGTATAAGTGTTTGCAATCGGTTGTATGTTTTCTTGTTAAGTTCATCCTGAGTCTGTCCGACATTGTACTGGATGAAAACTTTGTAGTATCTAGAATGTGCTCATTAGTATGGGAATTAACAAACGAAATCGGAACAGACTCACCTGGAGTTATATACAATCAACATATCGGTTTTGTACTGAAATGATTCATATCTCGAATTGGAACCATAGATTTTTCAACGCTATCCCCCCACGAAATAATGTTGGGTCTTTATATTCCCAAGTTATGAATAATGTGGATTCATTTAAAACATATTTCTCACATTGATTAGAGTAAACATTGGAAGTGTTTTTGTTTTAAGGATGAACAGCAGTTGATATGAAATCATCAGAATTGTAATCAAAACCGAGCTCATTTAGTATTCGTGCTTTGCATTGAACAAGTTTTTTGCAAAGAGTAAATGCATTATGAGGATAGGTAATATATGATATGACATCAAGATTTGATTCCACTGAAATATTTTAATGAAATTGACTAAGAATGTCATTGCAGAGCAATGGATCATTAGAAAAATTAGCATCTATCATGACTGCCTCAGGTTTTTGATAATGAATTGGTCCATTTAACATATTATCCTCAGATTTGTAAGAAATTTCATCAGAAATATGCGAATCATTAGGAAAAGTCATACCTGGTACAATAGCATGAGAATTCTGATAAATCGGTTGATTAGGAACTGTTGTCTCACAAGAATTCTGGATTTCATTTAACTCTGAACTGCTTTTTGACACTTCACTGTCCATTGCAATCGTTGATAAAGATAAATCATCATTATAAATACTCGACTCAGTAGAATCAGAATTACAAGACTTAATTTTAGTTGCAATAACATGAACATTAGTATTGCAGACTGACTGAATATGTCCAATATAATCACATTTAAAGCATTTAGAATTATGAAATTTAAATGAGTTAAAAGCATGGAACTTGCCACAGGACAAACACTGACCAAACGTGTGCCCATCTTCGTGAAACGCACTGCAACTCCGCAATGAATTATTTGCATATCCTTGAATATGCACTGGATTGGGATAACGTGATGTAGTAGAACTTTTAATGTCCCGATGAATCATTTTAGGAAATTCCCCTTCTTTACTGCAATCAAAATTTGCATACCTGACATGGTCTAGTAGTAATGCCTTGAGAGTTTTATAAGGAAGCGAAATGGGTTTTTTCGGCATAGCCAGAGTTCTTAATAAACTGTATGCTTCTTTACCGATGAATGTGAGGAAATATGCCACAATATTAACATCCTCATCATCTTCCTTGGTCATGACCCAGATTTCGAACCTTTCGAAATAATCCTCAAGACCTTCAGAAGTTGAATGAATGTCTAACTTTTCCATTGCAGGCTCAATCGCGACGCCAATATGATGTTTCTAATTATTTGAATTATAGCACGAACTAAGAGTCTAAGAAATAACGCAATTGAATTAAGAACTCACAAGCACAAACGAATGTACTGTATTTGGAATTCAAAATTGTGCAATCAACATGTACAAAAGTATCATTGGTCAATTCAAACACCACAGATTTTCACACACAAAACATTCAAAATGGATCTTGCACACATAGCAGTGTGTTTGCGCTTATGTGGGAATATTTTTCCGCCTGCAGCCACTTTTTTGTTTGACGAACATAAATGTGCAAAACTGTCACAATTCTCCTTTCCTCCCAGTCAGTCCATTTCTTCTCATGAAAACTTCATATCTGATGTTGTACATTCTAACTCTGACATTTAGGTCTCCTATCAAGATTGTCAGGTCGTTTTATGAGCACTTTGCTAAGATTGTTTGCAGTCTCTCGTGAAACTGATCTTTATCGTCGTCATGGCTATGATTGTTGGGTATATAAAATTGAATAACACTTACTGTGACCTTCTTTGTTCTGAAGATTGATTTGATGATTCTGTAACCATTTAATACTTATCCTGTAAGTGTTTTTCGTGCTTTTTTGGACAGCGTCAAAGCGACTTCCTGAGTGTGCGGGGCATTTCCCCTTCCGTGATCGGAATATGACAATACCTCTCCGAAATCTATTCTTTGCTATACAGCTTGGGTCCAATGAGTTTCGTTTCCGTAGCCATTTGACTAGTCCTCCTGGTCTCCAACATTTTTCGGACGTTTCATGTATCTATGTCAATTGTTGCTCTGGTTGTTAGAAGGAACATCGCCCTCATGACTTCGGAAGAATCTCGGCTTTCATCATGAGGCGTCATAATTCTTCCTTGAACTCCCATGGCAGAGTTTAAATTGTTCACTTTTTATTATGGTTGGCGTGCTTTTTTTAGCAAGATCGTTTTGTACGAGATGGGGTTAGTGAATATGCAGATGGCACAGGTATTCAGTGTTTGAAAACGTTTCTACCAGTAACACCTTCTTATATAACTGGTACCGACCAAGAGAAATCGAAAGACAGAATCGAGGAGATCAGAATTTGTATTTGACAATTGCCAATATATCAGAATTATCTGACCTAATCTGACTAACGATTGCAGTAGCAGTTGTGCACGGCGTTCCCACACGCAATCTGGTGCGGATGAATGACCAAGCGCCTTCAGCTAGGTGAGTCCACTAAAACTAATCTGGTAAGCATCCAATGTCGAAAACTTAGAGAGCTATTTATTTTGGGATTTATTTACCGCTACAAACCCTTCTATTTTACCCGGACTTGAGACCAGTAATAGCCCTTGAAGAGCCACGGACAGGGCCATACATAAAAACTGCCTCGCCACACTTAGGCCACGATTCGTACAAACAGTTGTTCTCCCGTTTAGTCTCGACAAATTTAACAGTTTGAATATGATTCACATATGAATGGGCTTAACAACGCTGACATCATAGTCTTTACAAAGAAAGTTATCTCAAAGCATGTTAGAGGAAGAGACGATGATGGTTGATTGGAAATTTTTATTCCGTCGTATGGTTAGCTAACGTGATTTGTGACTTTCAAGTTGATTGGTTATCAGCCGGTGTGCGTTTCAGGACGAGTTACAACGTCATTCGACGGAGATGCTTGTTCAAGTGCATTCGGTAAAATGTCAAGTACAACTAACATGATAAGCCTTATGGTCGAATGATTTCGAGCTATTTATGGGAAGGAATTGTTTACTGTTATATATTTGAACGTTGTTGAACATGTCCCAATATTTGGCCTTGAGATTGGGGTTCGTTATCATTTCCAAATGTAGCGTCACAAATGTTCAGCGACCTCCCTGTTGAATTACTGCAATGTATTTTTATGTTACTCTCTCCTTGTACTGATTTACTCACAGTACTCAATGTCTGCAGACGGTGGAGAGAGGTCGGTCAGAGCGTCTTCAAGCTGCGTGAAAGTCTTAGTCTATCTGCATTTAAAATGCAGAGGCCATTGCAATGGGTATCTCCACAGCTAGCTACCTGTACAGAACGTTTCAAACACACATCTCCATCCAAAAGGTTTGGAGCAACTATCATATTGAAAGAGCAGTTACTGTATGTTTTTGGTGGTGCTACAAAGGAACTAACAGCCTTTAATGATTTATGGACCTATGATTTATCCACCTTCAGCTGGCAGCGTCTGGTTGGTAAAGGTCAGTTAAATTTCTGCTCAGACTTTGGTGCTGTGAAATGATATATTTGCTCAGTTAAGTGGTTAGTCTATTTCACATACTGTGTTCGGATTCCATTTTGGATAAGGTTTCAAGGCGAGACTAACATTTATGAACGAACCAATCGGATTTGCGACTACAGATCTTGGATTTCAGTACGGAATTTCTCATGTATTTGGCTAAATAGCATCTTGGCATTTTAGATTATGTCAGTTCGTGATGAGACCCCTAAGTCTAATCCCTATCGTAACTATCAACTGAAAATCACAATCCTTATCATTCAAACAGGTCTAAAACCCTCACTCAGCCCTAATCAGTAGGTGTATATTCACAAGGCCACTTTAGTGTCGCTCAAAGGTCGTCCACAAACTGTAGTTTTACCGATTTTGGGTCACCATTTCGAAGTTTAGTGACTTTTCATAATATTCTGCCGGAAGTTATTAACTATAGTCAATATCACTGTTGCTGATCCAAAAAATTACTCGACGAGTTTTGTCTTCATCACGTCTTTAATACTTCATACATGTTAAAGTGACCTTTTGGGTTGTCTTTCTGGATATTAAGTATTCTTCAGTGAAGTTCTTTCTGAGAAATGCATTCGGGGGCTTGGAGAGCGCAGATAGGCGATGGTTTGTATTGCAGTCTTTTCAAGTTTTGCCGTGCTGTTCAATCGAACAAGACTAGTAGTAACCAATTAGTATTTAGTCCAAGACGGATTTCTTGATTTTAGACTTGATACTGTAAACCTGCGGGGTAAAAATTATCGTCATTAACTCAGTACTCAAAAGCGAACTTCTCCTATCGTGCACGGTGTAAGTCATACTGTTCAAAATTGAGCTCTCGATGGCGAATAGCTTGTATCTTAGTAAGGTTGGGGATAGATAAAACCTATCAAGCTATTTATTTATTTATTTGAACACATAAATACTGATACAAGAGGGCACCAGATACATATGCACCACACAAACCTCGTTTGATTTGTGTGAGGGCTGTGATACTGCCCAGATCTAAGCAGGTGGTTTTGCTAGGGGGCCACACCCCGAGCCTTCTACCTAAAGATCTGATCCGCAAGGCAGTGGAGCATCGTAAGGAGATGCAGTCCCATGGTAGCCGGTGACCAACGATTGGTTCATACGCCATCTGTTCCCTCAGGATACTGGAACCCATGTGCACCATTCGTTTGGAATCAAAGTTTTCCAACTCCCCTAGCTGGACTCTCCGTGTCCACCAATCTGGTTATGGCGCCGGACATTCGCTTTTCTTTCTCTCAATTTCGTAAACAACACCCCCACCACGAGAAGTCAGTGAGTAGGACTTACTTGGCAGAGGCTATATACACCTGGCCATGTGAGAGCATTTCGAGAGGGAGAGCGGATACTGCTCTCTCTCGGCCGTACCAGGGCATTAGGGGGCAAATCAAGCTACCAAGACGCTTAAACACGATAAAAATCCTGCAACCAAATAATATGGGAGAACTTAAGTAACTATCGAATTGAAGATGAGAAAGTGTTTGGTTTTTCGTGGAAAGCTGTCTATTATTTATTTATACACAGACATCGGTACAAAAGGCACCAAATACATATGCACCACACTTTGCCATTCGATTTGTGTGAGGGCTGGGATACTGCTCGAGCGCCTAAACTAAAGCAGGTGGCTTTCTTAGAGAGCCACTTTTCGAGCTTTTAACCTGAAGGTTTAATTCACTAGGCAATGGAGCAACGTTAACAGATGCAATGCCATGCTAGCCGGTAACCAACAGTAGGTTCATGCACTATTTGCTCCCTCAGGATCCCGGAGCCCATGTATACCGTTGATTTAGAATCATGGTTTTCCAACTCCCTTAGATAGATCCTCCTTATCGCCAACCCTATTGGAGCGCCGGATATTCGCCTCTCGCCCTCTCAATTTCGTAAAAAACACGCCACGAGAGGGCTGTGAGTAGGACTCACCTAGCAGTGACTGTACACACGTGGCCTACTCTACATATAACAATGCTCACAGTTATCAGTGATATGCCAAAAAGAGTTAACTCTACAAACCTAAGTGTCTATCTATGAGTTAAGCAGAAAGGTAACAAACAGCACTTACAATAAAAATGATATGGCATTTGGGGGCCATTTTCAGCTATGTAATATTGGCTCCTCACTTTCGAAACCTTACAATTACTTGAAAATCTTGTGTAACAAGAGCTAATTTTCTAACTAGCCTGTCGTAATCCTCTAGAATAACGAACAGACAACGTATTGGTACATGAAGCTTCAAATTAATTAGTTCTCTAATGACCTTCGACTATCATTACCTTTCAATAGACCACAAATACATGTATTCATGTAAATAAGTCGCGATTTAGAAGATAAATGACGAATATGTTTGCAGTATTAAAACCAGTTTTGAGAAATCTACTGTGAATTGTGACTAGTTCGCTGATTTAGTAACTGCACAGGCAGTTCAGATGATCAGTCAATGACTTAGTGGACTGATAACATGTCCTGATGTGGTTTGTCATATTACCGTGACGACGTAATTAACAAGTCATTGTTCTAACTAGTAAGTTAACGCATAGTTCATTTCGATAGGTTTGTTGTAAGTAATTTCATTTATCCAGTTCTGCCAATCCATGGGTATTTCTAGCTGTTTATAAGTGGTGAAAAGATCTGTAATTTAATTGAATTTGCTATCGAATTAATATGTAAATATCCACTATTTAATACGTTTTATATCCACAATGTGATTTGGTCATTTTATTAAGTTTCAACATCTCTATGTTGTTTATTTATCAGGTGAGCTACCAACACCAAGAGCACATGCTAAAGGTGGTTTTATTGGAAATCTACTTTATCTGTATGGAGGTTGTCAAAGCTTTCATAGAGCGGGATCGGAACATACGGTAAGAATTACGTTACTGGCTCTCAATTAGTAAGTTTCTGGTCGAACTATGTTCCACCTACCCCGGCAGCCGAATAATGTCACTAGTTCTAACGCAAAATGTATGGCTCAACGCCGAGTCTGTTATAGTATTAGTTCACCTAACATTCACAGAAGTTAGTTTACAAGAATAAGTTGTGCACTTGCATATAAATAATCGTCCTTCGGTCTCTCGTAATTCACAACTAGAATATGGATAGGTTGCTCATATAGTCTAGGTCACGTACGTCACGTCGGTAAAAATTTCCTAACAAGATGACAAGGTTTTCTCACTGGGCAATCCATACTGATTTGGTTGTATGCCTTCACCGGAAAAGAGCTGGTGTGATTGTGTTCCATGACTTATTTCAGGACTAACTTCCTTATCGGCAAAATGAATCCATTCCATGATCCAGTTTGTTAGTTATTGGTACAATCTCAAAGAAGAACAGACAGATCGTGCTACTCTTTGCTAGTGTTAGTGATAAATGTATATAAAATCATCATTCCAGAAGATACAAAGAGAACACATCTAATATATGTATGCTGTTAAATTCACAATTAGAAAGTATGCTGAGACAGCTATTTGTTACTAGTAAGGACCAACACTAAACATAAAGACGGGTAGACCGTATGTTGAAAGATGCTTTAACTCTGTTCATGCTCTAATGTTAGTACGTGCTTGTTTGCCTCACTTGGTGCACATAAGTTGAAACAGAAAACCTTTTAACTAGTTTTGAAAATGAGATTGTAAAGAGGATATTTAAGTAAAAATTAGACGGACTTATGAGATGGGGATAAACAATCGTTAGTATTGCTTTTTGATATATATTTCTTGCAGTAATATTTTAATACTTCGTCCTATGCAAGATGAGTATTAGATTCATTAACGTGTTGTTAATAAACCTACGCAATACATGTACAGTAACTCACTTGTATTAGTTATAATATTTTTTTCTTGTTCAACAAAGTACAGATTGATAGCACTCCATAGAATACTTTGTCCAAACTTCCTGAGTATCCAAAGTCTCGGGTAACACTAGTGGTTGTAACTCATTTCTTTTTAAAATTCATCTAGGGCCGTATGGATTGGTTAACTGAGTTGAATAGTTTTGATATTTCGACAATGCATTGGTCACGTATGCCGTTATACGAAGTAAACCACTTAAGTCCTGTATCGCCACCTGCAATTGCCGGCCAATCTGGATGCTTTCTTCCTAAAGGTGGAATAGGCGAACCTAGTGTATTAGTTTTATTTGGAGGAATGTGTCAGTCTCTTGGACTGTGCGTTAACTACTTATTTGTGATATCTCCGGAAAATGGTTGTTGGATTTCACTTTCTGATACAACGGATAATTGTCAAGGTGACTGGCCATCTGGGCGCTGTGGTCATTCAACTTGCGCTCTTGATTCAAATAGAATGCTTTTGTTATTTGGGAATTTGGAATCACCTTTGGCCACTGATCATTCTGTACGTCGACAACAAGGAATGTCAGCTAATCCTAATTCGAATAATGATTCTGAATCAACTTCTAGTACGCCTAACTATCATGGTCGACCTGCGAGAGATGTATGGATACTTACACGTTGTTCACCAAGCATCGGTCAAGGTTAGTTATTGGAAACTTTACTCGATTTTATTGTCAGTCGCAATACGCTAATCTCGTTTATGCTAAACCCCATTATTTGAAGACCTTCCTATCAACTTTAATACTTTTATGGGATTCAACTGAGCTTTTTAAGTTTCAGTTTATAAATGTAGTATTATGCACATATATATCATTTCCGTCATTTCCCGAACAAGCAATTATTGAAAAAGTGAATTCTGATACCCATCTTGTTAATATTACAAACATGGTCTTATTATTGCTGTCATATTTCTAACTGTAATCTCAAAGAAAGCTTAGATATTTTCAACACCATTTAGATTGAGTTTTCACGTAAACCTTTCTCAATTTAATATAATAACTCATAATTATATCCATCAGATATCCGAAATTAGATGTTGAATGTTTGTTCGTACTGATTGTCAGAGTACGTCGATGGTCTTTATTTGCTCTCCAAGTTTTTAATCTTTATTGTTCAACACCTGTCAGCCGCAACAGGGTTCGTGGTACTTTCATTAAGTTTAACTATAAAAAATTTGGTTCCAATCCAATCTTTGGGGATATGAATTTCTTCCAGGTTTCAAGCACATTTTGACCAATACCTGACGACAAAACTTATTGCTAGCTACACACTACAATTCAAGATCTTATGTACAACACGCTATTTGGTTAGTTAGCTCAGTGTTAACAATCCATGGTTTGTTTGGTAACTTTTAATCATTTTCGAAAACTTTGGTGATATTTTAACCTAGTATGTAGTTAATTTAATTATCACCTTACTAATAACTCACCAGGACTTATTTATGCAATTATGAGTTTATTTGCCTGGTCGTTACGCAAGCTAAAGTCTATCTACTTTGATGAAGTGCATTGGAATTAAAATTAGTTTTCTTCGAATATTTCATTTAAAATGTGTAGATGCGAATCTATTGTGAATATAAGTTTTCAATTTATTTATTAAACCATCTCTGATGATTCTCATGATGTACTTCTGGATATTTATAATTATTTGTGCATGTATAGTTATCTGTCATTCTTTTTTTTCGAATTACTTAAAGAGCTGTGATTATTATACAATTAGTACCATTTCTTTACTTGTTCGATCCTATGATTCAGTGTTTTACACATATTTAGATTTCGAAATCGCGTCCACATATTTTTCTTACTAGAATGTCTAGAAACCGTTTGGTAATGTCATTCAAACTGAGTATATTTTAAAGAATGTTGCATTTTTTTCGTAAATAAGATAATTTCCTAATATGCAGACTACTGTATAACTCTTCAAATCATACCCTTTTATATTCAGAATGGTTTGAAGTCAATTGGTTCTGGACCAAAGTTCAATGTTCTGAGGGTATACCTGGATGCCCACCGATAGACTTTTATCATGCAACCGCAGTTTCACTTCCATATCGTGAAGACAGTAAGTCACTGTTGTTGACAAAGGACAGTAATTTTATCTCTGTACCGAGTGACAACGTTGGTACAAACAACTCAATTGTACACAATGTCTATACTGTTGTTGTCATCAGTCAACCTACCACAGCATTGTTGGATGAGGCAGCTAAACAGCGCAGATATTGGCATCGCATGAAACTCAACTCCGAGTTAAACAGTGTAACTTTTCAAAATAATTCGGTAGGTCAAGATTCTCATACGTCAGATGATGATGCCAATGACGAGGATGAGGAGCAGCGTAAACATTGTCATTCAGCTGATATCACTGGTATGAGTATTTTGACTTTGAACTGCTTCATATATATATATATATATATATATATATATATATATATATATATATATATATATATATATATATATATATATATATATATGAATCACCAATTAAAATTTTTATTCTATTTTATCTTAGTAGGCATGTTGTAAAAATACGAATATCCGCCACTATAAAATTAAGTTTATAGCTACTGTCTGTTACACTCAGCAAACTGTATGGTCTGAGATTGCAATATTGGATTTGATGTAAGGTGAACTGGATCATATACAAAATGAGTATTCATCTTAGTGTTATCGTTCAACTCTCTACTAGTTTAGTTTAGGATGTCTTATAATTTCGTCGCACACTGTGGCTACAGTAACTATGAAGAATGTTTGTTACAACAAACGGACTTATAAAGAACTTATTTTAATATGCGCGTTTCTTTATTGTTAAAATAATTGACAGATGATACACAATAGTACTATATGGTCGACTGATAGCTGCTCACCTGATCAAATTATTTACGTAAACTAATATCACAAGACAGGACTATTACCCAAAAGAATAGTTTACTTTCTAGTTAGATGATATGTTGATATACAAAATAATGGACATACAAAAATATGACTGAATTTCGTTGAACACGTTAGTGGTTGAAGGACCCGAGTTTTGTGGGTCATTCGGCCGCTAGTGAAATGAAGATTGAATTATCAAGGTTAATTCTTGTTTGTCGTGTAATGTTCACACAGATGCTTAGAGTATCAGTTTCTGAAATATATCTAAGCTTTATACTGTTTATCTTAGTACCTATGATAGGACTGATCTATCCGCTCACTTAGACATTTACACTTTTCACGAAGATTACCGAGTGAATTTAGTACGTATGGCTTATTACTTGCAAAGTTTTCATCAAAATTGTGGTTAGTGATACTGCGTAGATTGATAATCGAGACTAAGGAATGGTTTCGTCCTGTTCAAATAATCTACCATAAATAAAAGTATACGCTTACGCTAAATAGATAGCTTTTATTTTATTGAAATAATGGAGGTTTGTCACTCGGATGCATACTTTTAGTTATTTGGATAAAGTAAAAACAACGACGACTACAAATTAATATGAATTCATTTATTTCTACCACTATCTTTGTTCTTACCTTATTCAAATTGATAAACAGAAAAAAACGATATAACTTCGGGTTTTGGACTGGATGTTTTTTCAGCTCTGTCCTATAAGTTGCTTTAATTATGCATTAAAGATTGTATCGTACTCGTAACTATTACACTTTCTAAATATCTTCAATAGTAGTGTTCCTGCCATTCAAAGTAATGTATATAATTTTCTTTAGATAGGAATAACTCGTAGCTAATATCACGAATCGCATTGTTCGGTTGTATTTTTTGTATGGTTATTAAAAATCTATATTACTCAACTGTTTGTTTTATCACTTTCATTAGCATTTGAAACAACTAGACCTATATTCTCATAACAGTTTATAATCTAATATTTCTTCTGTAGATCGTGAATCGACTGGGATCCTGCAACTCCCGTCATCTAGGCGTGCAAATAACAGACGTGCACGAAGACTTGAAGCTTTAGCTATTCAAGAACGAAGGCTGTTTGGAACACGTAACCTGATCCCTAAAGAAGTTAATACGTCAACATTTTCCCGACCATTTTCATCAAATCATAACCAGCATCCTTCTAACCACGTAAAACTCGAATGTGCTTATCGTCCCTTGGCTCTGTATACACTCAACATTATATACTCTCATCCTAATGCATCATATAGTTCTGAAACTAAAATTCAGTTCACAGAAAAGAAGGCTAAAGGTGTTTGGTTGGCACCTGTCAAACAAAATTATCTAGATCTTTATTCCGCACCACCTGAATGCTTAGGTTTTTCATGTGCTTTTGGTCATGGTTGTTTATTTCTTTTTGGTGGTTTGACTGACTCAGATGATATTAAACCAAATGAAAATGTGAATACATTTCACCCATTGATTAATGGATCGCAAAATCGTAATGATAATGACCTATATCAACGACACAATAATTCATCAACTTTACAATCGTCCAGGTCTTCAGTATTAAATGAATCTCTTACACAAGGACATCTTGTTTCTTGTGTAAATCATTCACCAGATATAATTTATCCCAATCCTTTAGGTACCGCTCAGTTTTTTGTTCTTCGCGCACGTGCACTTGCTGGTACTATAATTTAATTTGGCCATTGCTTATTTCGACTGATCCAGTATGTATACATGTGGTATATATATGGCGTTCACTAACCATTTATATAGTTATTATTTTGTGTTTAAATTATTCCAGCTTTATGTATTGTAGTACAATGAGTTATTTAGTTTTCTAAATGTGTATTGGCTCATAAAATGTACATAAACTATTCAGTGGTTGTAAATATATTGCTATTCTTTACATACAGCTACGTTGTATTTAACATGCACATACATAAACTTCTCATCAACTAAGAATCATTACATCAATTACACTTTGATTCTACTGTGGTCTACTTTTCGTTCAGATTTTATTTTCTACTAAAAATTGTAAATTTCAACTAGCCATAGTTGTTTTCTCTTTTCCTTGATACTCATTGTTTTGCTGCTCTGGAAATCTCAAGCTTCTATCGATATCAATCGATACTGTTAATGCAGTATAATAAACCGAAGATTCTCTTAGCGATATTTCATGTACTACCGTAAAATATAAGTTTACAAAGTGTTCTATAGTATTTTAATCGATAAGCTTAAATTGGTTTTTTGCAGCAAAATGATCTAAATTTAGTAAATATAGATAGCTAATTAAATTGCTATTATGCTGATATCCATTGAGCCTCTACAAAATCGCGTAGATTTTTTCTAAAAGTATGGTGTTTTGGTTATGATGATTATTCTTATGAGACATTTGATATATTTGTATACGTCAGATCATAATTAGTACTTTTCATGGCATGGTTTCATAAGATTATTTGGTACTCTGTTTTCATTAATATTCACTTGTGATATTTAGAATAGCATCTGTCAGCTTTTTCCTGAGTATTAAGTTTCTTCAGCTGATATTTTACACTTGAATAAGGATTTCTTTAAGAAACTAACTGTTAATAAACCACATAATATCCACTCACGAAGGTTAATCCATGACCGTTTAGAATGATGATTGATATGGGTTTTGTGGGAATTTCGAAAATTATCAGACAGAATATTCCCATTTTAAGGGATTTCGATTATAGCTTTATTGGTATTGCTTATACCTATACTACGTTGGTGCTCATTCATGTTTTGCCTGATGATTGTGCATTCATATATAGTTGAAATCCGTAAAGCTAGTCAGCTTAGACAAGTCTTCTGTAATATAGTCTACGGTTGGTTAATGCACTTCTATTCCGACTCGGTTGATTTCATGGGTTACTGTTTCTAAAACAATTTACTAGTAGTATCTGGTTTACTACTAAATTTTTCAAATAAATATGAGAGCGTTATGGAGGGTAGCTATGATCTGTAGTCAGATAAATCGGCATAGATTACCCACTAATGGCATTGTGGTATTCAAGCTATGTTAAGAACTGATAAGTGGGCGATTAAATTTGGTGCTCAAGTGTCGACATTTTTAATTTGAAGTTATGAACGTTCTTGATTACATCAAATGTGACGTCAGTGTTGAGAACCTAAGAAAAATGAATTTAACCCTAAATCTGCTGTGAATTTAAGAACGAAAATCCCATATTAAATATGTATCATGAAGATTATAATTTCTCACCTCTGTAGTAAATGTCTTGAACAGGTCACAGACACGTAGGATTTGACAACACTACTGTTCGAAATCTCTCCTTATAAAAAGATCCCAAAGCCAGTAAAACCAAGAGTAAGGAATAACAGGATGTGGACGTATATCCAGATTACAGATCGATGTACCGCATAGTTATCGATGCTTATCACGGTGCACCCAAACGTGATTTGGTACGGATGATTGACCGAGTACCTTCAGTTAGAGGTGAGTCCAATAAAACTGATAAGACCAACACATGTCACAGAGCTACTTATTTAGGGGATTTATTTACCGTTACAGCTTGATATCTACTACGCGTCTTGCCCATTAGTGTCTATCTAAAACTGGGTTGTTTTGGTGAGATCTTCAAGGTTGACCGTACAATTTTTCAGGGTTGTTAAGTTAATGTTAATCAGGAATGACAAGTTTTTTTCTAGATTATCCCCATCATATATTCATACACTTATATACCATGAGTAGGGTAGAGTAAACATTACCGGTTCTGACCAGACGTAGGAAACTGTTATGTAAATTTTGAAGTAGTTCTAAAAAGTTAGGTACAATTTATTCTGGGGAGTAAATATGGAGAATTCTGATAGCATTTGTTTCTAAATTCTTTACATAATAATAACATGAGGATAAATCTACATCCGCAGAAGACATATGGGAAGTTTTGAGTTCGAAATAAAAAAACAATTAAAAATTAATAACACAAAGTTCAGCGAAGGGATCCCCAATTTTAGCAAACTTTTTCATGACTAAACAGGAAAACGACCAACTCATTTCGATGATTGGTCGATTTCATCTATACGTAAGATACATGGAAGACAAATTTGTCGTCTGTGACGATAATATTGAATTAGAAGACCTCTTAAACTCCTTCAACACATGCCACCCTTCTACAGACTTCACATTAGAAAGTGAGGGAGATCAGCCAATCCCTTCTCGATGTGTGTCTAATAAGGAGTAACGGTTCCTTAAACAGATCTATATTTAGAAAACAAACATGGAATGGCCAGCTGACCAACTTCTATAACTGGGTTCCTTTAAGCAGAAAGAGAAATATCATTCACTCTTTATGTCATCGAATACATCGGATTGACGAAGGACTCGCATTTCTCAAGAAAACTGACGAAAATGGCTATCCAGACCGCTTCATAGATAAAAATACGAAAAGTAGTTGTGACAAGAAATGTGGTTGTTCCGTTACAAAGAAAAACCTCTACATATGTTTGAATTTAAAGGTGATCGAACTTCTGATGTAACAAAAAATCGTTTAACGATAGGGATTAAAAGAACATTCAATGCGGTAAAACTGCGAAAAACGTTGTTAGCGGGATATAGACTGGATTAAGGCATGCTCAGTGCACGATTGCTTTGGTGCACGCTGATTCTTATCCAATCAGCGTTGGTCAGTACTTAGTGAACACTCTAGGAATCTTCTCATGTGAAAAACTATAAATATACTAACGTTTTCCCTAATGTGCTTACTTGCTTACATCTAACCTTGTTATTTGGAATATAATCTCTTTCCTGTTCAACCGTGTTCTGATTTGGTGTCCAAGATTACTAAGCAATAGGAATAGCTGGGTTATTACCGTAAGAGCGAATTATAACAAACGTCCAGTAGTAGGAACTTATTTTCTGTATCCATAAAAGATAAGCTTCTCTGTCTGGTCGCTTCCACGTGCATTTACCAGTTCACCTGCTCTTGTAGAGCAAGATACATTGGCCGTAGCCAGCGATAGCTTTAAACTCGGATACGGAAATACGTCCCAGTTTGGTTCTACAAGGACGAGAGGAAGGTAGTTATGAGTTCTATACTTGAACACCTAATCGAAGTATGTACAGCTATGCAAGTGGCTCGCTTGTCGCGTAAAGCTGACCTCTCCGGATTTTGTTTGTATCTACTGACTCATGTACTTTGCTAAGATCCTTCAGAAGAATTTTCTATGTATTGCACTAAGGTTTATGTATTTAGCTAATGTAAGAAAAAATCCTCGCCGAAAGAAACAATGATATATATATATATATATATATATATATATATATATATATATAGGATTCTGTGAAAGTTTGAGTTACCGAGTCATGACATTAGAGAAACATGGAAAATACACTCAATCATTTAAATGTTTTGGAAGCAACACATACCCATGGATATCGAACTACTGTTTTGGCGATATCGGTAGTAGAAATTTGTCGCGTAGTAAGTTTGCTGATCAGGACATGCACACGCTGACGAAAATACACTTCCAACAAAGATTAATCGGGTTCAAACGAGTGGGCAAACCAACAAGACTCAAATCAGTTTGTCCTCGAAGTAATCGATTAGATTATGGATAGTCTGTCATACATATCGCTGAAGTTACACCCATATTCTTTAAGTTGATCACATTATCATATTACCGTTTTCAGTGGTCATCTTTGATAAAAATATACTAAAACCACCATTTTGTGGAAAAATGAAAAACTTACAACGTCTAACAAATAAGTTAAGAATATCTGATGCGCTAGTAGCCTGTTATCTTGACTTTTCTTTATATTCATCTTCATTCCTTTTTACTAGATATATTTGTTCTCTTCAGACTATATTTTAGATGACAGTGTGCAAAATAGTGCTCCCAAATGCCTTACTTAAATTTCCTCCTATTGTGATGATTTGAAGAGTGGTAACTTGGACTGATACTAATTTATGCTATACTTCAGTGTTTTTTGTCTGACTAGTGACAAAGCCTCAAATTCAAAGTAGTTAAGGCTTCTAATGATTTTGAACATCTTGAAGGTTTAAAGCATTTTTAAGCAGTTTTGGATTACTGCAGACCAATAACAGAATAGTCCTACTATCCGGAAACAGCAATAAACAATGTTACGAACAATTTATTATTGTATTTATTTTATATACAGTGAAAATACCATATAGTTTAAATTTCAGGACCTTCTCCACCAGGCACCATCATAACAATGTTACTACCATTCAGCAAAATATGTGGCAGTTTTGTTATACGTTTACCTTGGGCTGTAAACTCAAATTCAGTAACGTCAGCCAAGACCATATTTACGTAACCATCAAAGCCAAGCAAGGTTCCCACCATTTCTTTATCATTTTTCATGATTATATGAATCTTGGAACCTATACATTTGTCAACCAGTTCAAGGGGAAGAAGTTGAGGTCCAGTCAGTGACATTTGAAGAGAATCTAAAACAAAAATTCGCATGTTAATTACCTGGACGAACATGAGATCATGAATAACTAGAAGCGATTGAAACCTGGTAAATGCTTCACTTGAGAGGAAAGTATATTGCCAAATTTGTGAAAGAAATGGCTATATTCCTGTATAAAGATGTTTGTATGACAGTTCGCCATAAGCTCTGACTCAACCAATAGTCGAGTAGAGCTTGTACATGGTTGATGTACATCATTAGTATACCTTACAACGACAAACACTGTCATAAAACCTGTCGACCAACGGAGCCGAAAGCTGTCTGAAGGTCAAGAAACGCAACTACGGTTGGGAGTCGTTTGGTCCACACACCAATCCCCAAGCCTGAAATCAATCTGGTTTTGCCGAGTTTGGACTTTACGAGGCCAAGTCAAGTCTCAGATGATTATTGAGGCTAATATTTCAGATACGATATTAGTTAAACTGATTCCTTAGTTATCACAAGAGGATTTTTGTCTTTTTTATGTACTGAAACGATTAGCTATCGGCAGCAGTCAGGTTGGATGACATCCAGTCTCTAGCTAAGATCTCAAGGATCGACCTGCTGCATCCCCACGTCATAAATTAGCTGACATTTTCTACTTCACTAAGAGTCGGAGGGGATTATGTTGATATCCCAGCCAAGTTGCTTGGTGAAAGCAGACAACTGAGCGGTGGTTGGTGAGCAATTAAACTGTTCTTCAATGCTCTGTCTATTATTTCATTCTCCTAGGTTGAAAATGGAGCACTGTCCCACTTTTTAGATATATAATGCCAATATCCCCAGAATTTTCAATACTTATTTCCGTCCGAAAAGTTCTTTCCTGCTGTCCATCACACGATGTTACTCTTTAAGCTCAAAATTGGTGCTTGATAGGAATATATGGTTGCCTGAGAGTAGTTGCAGCGGACGGTTACAGATATTTGTTCGTTGAACTGTGACACAGTAAAACACACCTAGGTGTCTTTCGTTTTGGCTTGAACTGCCAACTTAGGCGTTAAAATCGGGCATAATTAGGTCGGAGAGTGTAGTTTTTTAAGAAAGGAGACAACTTTCGGTAAAACTTACTCTTTGCTTTATAGCGACTGCGGTCAGTGGGGGCGCAGGCAAAGACGACAAAGAGGCAATAAGGTATGTCCCCAACTTTCCGTGTTTTTGCCCCCCCCCCATTTAAGGCAGAGCACTAGTAACGGTCTACTAGACTCTACTTTAAGAAACCGCATTCGGTTTTCGGACTTGGTGCTGTACCCACACCGGAAGGTGACGTGAATTGGCAATCAGGCCTGTTTTAAGCTCGTTCAGTGTTTCGGTGAGACAAACACTTTTAATAAAAAAGCTAGTGATGCCACCAGGTTGTCTAGGCCGAAGTTGAGAGGAAATCAAGTCTCCAGATACTCGGAGCGTAAGTCGTCCCGGTCCTCTGTATTGAACAGGCGTAGTCAAGTGAATCATTACACTTAAATCCTGTATGCTTACATCGATGGAAAGGAATTCTAGAGTCCTAACTAATGAGTCTGTTCGACATAAGGTTCAAACAACGGAAGCTCTAACACATGGTTTTACAAGGAAATAAATAGCATTTCATGGGTTTGAACAGTCGGCATTGGTAATGCTTAGGGATAGAAATATGTTCATAGGACAAGGGTTAATAGTCAAGATAGAAATATTCAGAAGCGATGAAGATACATTATTATTATTTGAATACATATATACTAGTACAATGAGGCACCAAATACATATGCGCCACATAAATCTCATCTGAATTGTGTGAGGGCTGTGATACTGCCCCGGTGCCCAAACCGAAACAGGGACTTAATCGTGAATAAAGTGGTATCGGGTGGTGTGAGAAGACGGTTGTCACTCCTAGGTCGTCCACATAGTGAGGGAATGTTTCGCGTCGGGGAACTCGGAAAACCTGACTTAGTAGAAGTTCTGTAGAACTGGTACAACCTAAAAGGATAACTGTCCCAGCCAATACAGATTGATCGGGTCATTAACATAGACAAGCGCAACCACTACATTAAGTTAGTGGCTTCGGTCAGTGACAATATTAATATTAGTCTTCAGTCAATTTTAAGAAAGCCAATTACTTTTACCATGATATGATCAGTGTCACAAGAAATAACCAACCCTACAGAGTTAATGAGAAACCGTAAAGTTTGGAAAACATTGTTAACACAGTTTGTCTGTTTGCCAGGGATAGGTCTTGTGTTTACGATTGATACTGCATAATGTTAGATGGATGAAGATCTCTACATAGTATCAACGCAAACTTCACAAAGAAACGAGACATTATAACATTACAGCTATGGATAAACAACTTGTTAGAATTAGCTTAATTTAACCACTCATTAATCCGGCCAATCTCGTGCCCGGAGAAAAAATACCAGAAACCTGTATAATTAGCGAAGTTAAAGATACCGAATATGTTTGGAGTATATGATTCTTCTAGTACTAAAAGAATTATATACGTATATGCGGGTAAAACCAACTCATTTAATAAACAACTTATAGTAATGAGTCTACATGAAGAAAGCCATAATTACTAACAACGTCTTGAAAACCTAAACTCAAACAAATTACGACGGGTTGCGTGAAGCCAGAAGGTATTTTTAACAATAAAAGAGCATGAAGAGTGATGTGAGGGTTGGATAAGAGAACAAAAAATAAACCAACGACCCAGCAAGAGCACACAATGTACTTACATCTGTTAAGAAAAGCAACAAACAACAATCACCAACAGTACAAGCCCCAGACGAAAACAATCTTCAAATCAAGCAAATAATCCAACCAAGTATAAGCGTACAATTTTGTAGTAACACCCTGACCTCATAAAATGTTCCAATGCGAATTTTCATTCTCAAACTCCATTGAGTGACCACAAATATACTTTGAGCTTTGATCTCGAGTCGTTAGTGATAGAAAATATGAATCATTGTGTAAAGTTTTAGGTTTCATAAGGAAGAAAGAAATAATGTGTCAAGTTGCCAATTTCTTAAAACTTTATGAGTAGTTGATGTAGATTGGTGAACTTCCATGAGCTCGCGTCTTCATGATAAGATACCGTTCCAGGTCTTCATTGGTTACCAGTTCGGAAATGAACAGTAGGATAGGGGACTTGTGATAACTATAGTGATAAATAAATCCCCAAAATCAATAGTTCTACAAGTCTTCGATATTTAATGCTGACTGCAATAGTTCTATTGGACTCACCTAGCTGAAGGTGCTCCGCCACTCATCCGCAACAGATGACGAGTGAGTACGCCGTGCTACTCATCCCTTTCACCTAATGGCTGGCTTAGACCAAACGTTCCTTCAACATACTGATAATCGTCAAAATACATTTATCAGCCCCTTCATTTCTGACTCTTGATTTGACTGGGTTAATATACTTAGATTGTATAGGTGTTAAGTGTTAATGCGTTGTCAAACTCCGGATATCTGTGGTATCTGTCGTCGTGAGATCGACGTGATCTGGTACATCAAACAATAAACTGTGAAATTGTCTTTTGTGGGAACATTGTATATTACTTTTTAACTTTTATTTTTACAATGATTTTATCTTTGTATTTTCAGATGTCTTTCCTCGCTCATTTTCATATGTTATCTTTATTATGGCACAACAAACATCTAAGCTGTTTGAGATTAAAACTACTACGCCTCCCAATTTTTAGCTCGTGACATTCTGGCCCAACAATATGTAGCCTGTTTCTGCTACGCTGAAGCTGACTTCCACGAGAGCGAATTGACAGACCTAGGTGGTGGTGAGTGCACTAACGCGTGGATTCAACAGGTGTCTCACACCTAGTATGTTTCGGAACCTTACGACACTTTAAAGAAGGCTTCCCTCAAATGGAGAGGCCTGACTGACCGACGAAGTTAAGACCAGCTTTACCACGACATTGAGTTGCGATACAACTCAGAGTTTTCAAACTCCGAATATATGTGGCGTCTGTAATGGCGAATCCGACTTACATCAAGCAGTACACCATGAGTCTTTCTCTTATTGTCACCTTACACATCATAATCGAACTGCGGGACACAATCGACCGGCTAGACCAGCTCACCCACAACATCAAATTGCGACCTGGCTAAGCAACAGGACTGTTGTTACTTATGCGGAGTCATTGGTCGACGGACCTTCGATGAAGACCATTTAAGAAAGTTGTCCTAATTTGAGGTTTCTCACTTGTAGCAAGAGGTTCTTTTCTCACTCCAAATTAAGCCCGTCAACAATCTGCTTGTATCAGATTTTGAAGATTATCCAAACCTTCAACACTGACTCTTACTCCGTCTAAGAAAGGTTTCAAAAGACTCAAAATGATGTTACAGGTGACTGTCATGCTCTCACTCATCTTAATATTCATCATGATCCCAGACGGTCTCAAACTCCTCAAAGAGATTCATCAGGTAAAAGATCTGTTTTAGACCATGAGAGTCGAAATCCTGATTAACGCTCATACTACAGCACCCATGATAAATCTTCCAGAGATTGAAGTAAACATCACAGTTTCCACATTGCCAAAACGTACATCACGAAAATTATCTCGATAAATTTCAGAACCGGTATGAGTTAACGGCAACCGCAGTTGGCGAATAGAGCTGTCTGTTGTACATCACTGACGTGATAACGAGAGTTCGCTATCTCACCCACACTGGCGCATTACGCATTCCTCCCGCAAATTCTAACGACCGTCTTCATGAATCGGTTTTCAACTTACAGGTGGCAAACTGGAAACGGATTGCCACGTACGCTAAGCAGTATGTTCATGTTGACATAGGTTTACGCAAATCATTCTATGGATTTTCATTGTTGTATATGCTTCTATGAGAATAATTGTTATAGACCAGCCATAACGCTACAATCTATTCATCGTCCCGAGAAGATGTAAGTTAGTAGATGGTGATGTTTAATTACATATTTGAGGGACTTTCTTTTTCGATGTTGAATTATCCTCAGTCACCGTAATGTACACAATCGACTGATTTTGTCAATAGATACTCAATAAATATCATGATCGGCATCAAAAATGAACAAAGTTGTCGTGTGTAGCCAGCAATGTTACACACCACGTCACAGCTACAGGGCCATCTGTATTCTCGAGAGCACACCGACTAGCTCCCGAAAAGCTGAGGTTGGCTAAAAACGAAATCGATCATGTGGTAGACTGAAGTATCATTCAGCCCATGGGTACCGTCCCTTCAAGTGGTTCCTAAAAAGAATTTTTTAATTCAAATCATAGGCTTGATATTTTTTGTACCTGCACTGATGTGCTGGAACGAACCATCAGTAACATACAGTTTTTCATCAGTGTCAAATATGCCATTAGAAGTGGTAAACAGGAAAGATATATAACATAACACATCAATGATTGTGAAATGAATAGCAGGTTCACACAGAAGTTTGATGTGATAGGTTTTATCACAGCCTGAACGTTTAGCACAATGAAATGCACATGGTTCACGAGAATAAAGTTTACAAGAAGATAGACTAGTTATACATTGTTCACTGAGCACCTTTTTATATTTCCACAAAGATGAGAATCATCACCGGAGTTCAACAAATATGATATGAATACTTATCGAGATCACGTTTCGCAGTGATTTCTCAGTATAACATACTATAGCATAGCGGTCAGGCTTTCATGCTTCTAAAGAAAATTCGATTTTAGACCCAGATTTGTTTAGTAAGGATAGAAGGCCTACGATCTATGTTATTCCCTTTCTGGTATGCTTCTATGAGTGCCCAGTCTCCTCTTGAATGAATCAACTGAAGGAGCGGACACCACTGCTTCGGGTAACAGGTTCCAAGTATTAATGTCTCGGTATGAAAACCTGTATGTCATGGGTACTTTGTTCGTTGTTAACTTTTAGCTGTTATGTCCTCTGAGATGTCCCGATCTAGTGGAAAAAAGGAGAGAATAAGTAAGGTCCCAATTAATCATTTCTCAGTATTCTGTACATAAAAATTAGATCTCTCCTTAACCTGTGATGGGACAGATCAACGAGGTCCAGCTTTTCAAGCCGCTCTTTGTATGGTGAAATCCGGAGTCCTGCAGTTGCACGAATAGCTGCTCTTTGTACTTTTTCTAGGATATCCGAATCACTTTTTGAACAGGTTCTTGCAGACTGAACGCAGTTCTCAAGCTTATTTCTCACTAAAGTTGTGTGAAATGTTGTGAACATGGTAGTATCTAACCTAGTGAATTCCCGTTTTAAATTTCAGGGGGTTCTAAATCCCTCAGCTGCAACCTTCCGGTAATAGGTCTTCGTCTTAAGATCATGACTCACTTTCACAACAAGATCCTTGTGAGACCGGACAGGCACTTCCCCTATGCTGTACATATTAACCTTTGCATCACCAAAGTGCATGTGGATACACTTTGCCGCGTTGATAGTCATCAGCCACTCTTTAGATCAGTTAATCACATTATTTAAGTCTGCCTGAAGTGTGCATGTATCTGTGCCTCCCATTAGTACCCGCCAGATTTTCACATCGTCAGCGTATAATAACATTGGAGACTGTACTATACTTGGGAGATCATTTACATACAGTATAAAATGTAAATTACCTAGGGCGGAACCTTGAGATACTCAACTAAGCTCTGGTCTCAAGGTGGAGCACTTCGAATATATTCTTACTTTCTGTCTACGACCTACTAAGAAATCAGTAAGCCATTTAAGGAGGTTCCTGCATTACCAAGGTTTTCCAACGTCAATAGCAGTCTTTTAGCTGGCATCTGACCAAATGCCTTACTGAAGTCTATGTAGACAACATACACTGAGTTTCCGTTGTCTAGTGCTTTTATCTAATGCTCTCTTGCTATAAGGATCTTTGTTGTGCAAGATAGATCCTTTCTGAAACCATGTTGTTCACTGTTTAACAAGTTTTTGGTATGCACAAATGTCATCATGACCTTTTTGACTATTCTTTCCAATATTTTGACTGCGACACTGGTAAAACTTACAGGTCTGTAGTTCGATGAAAGTTGTCTTGGTCATGTTTTATGTATGGGAGTGACAACTGCGTCCTTCCAGTCCATATGTACCACACTTTGGTAAGGTGACGTATTGGATATCATAGTCAGTAGAGCTGCGATATATTGTGCAATATGTCTCAAGATTTTGGGGTGTAGTTCATACGGCCCTGTTGACTTTTTCATGTCTAAGGTGTTAAGAGTCTTAAGTACATCGTCTTGATCAAAGTCCACGGTGAGCAGGCGGTTTATTGACTCTGTAATTAGGTCTGGTTCTTTGTCTAGAGGAGGTTCCTGAGTGAAAACCGCCCCATAATAGTTGGCCAAGGCTTCTGCTTTTTCCTGATCTTCCTCTATCATTTCAAATTCACTTCCTTTTTTAATCAGGTTGGGAATCCAGTGATGCATCCTTGTTCTGTAGTTTTTTATGTACGAGAATATTCTCTTGTGCAGTTTGAGAGCAGATTGCACCAGATGCACCTCATCTTTTCTCTGAACTTCCCGAATTTTAATTATACAGATGTTTCTTACTGACCTGTAGCATTCCATCGTACCTGCTGTGCCAAGGCGGATGGCAACTACCCAACGTTTCTTCTTTTGTCGCAGTAAACGTCGAATATTTCTGCCTTTCCATGGAAGGTCATACTTCTTCTTCTCCTTCTTTAATACTGTCTAGGGAATGTATGATTGAGATACCCGATTGTATAACAACTTGAAATGAGTCCATGCCCCTTGTACTTGTGCTCTTGAGTCAATTTTCGAGTTTTCAACCGATGCTGCAGAGGTTTTTGCCTCCATATTTGCCTTTCATATGTTAGAATGTGCCGGCACAACTATATGACAAGCGATCTCAGCTAATATGACTGCATAATCGCTTCGTTTTAGTGGTGAGAGGAAAGTCATTTAACGAACGTCATCACCGTGTGTGAA